GGGGGGGGGGGGGGGGGGGCGAACCCCACGACTTGCACACGGCGCGGCAAAGGTGGCGCCGGCCCGCACACGCCACCTATGCATGCTGGGAACAGCAGGGGATGGGTTGACTGGGGAATCACGCACGGAAAGCACTGCATTTGCAACGCAAAGATGGGACTGCACTTGATGCCCTCGCGCATCAAGATCACCAGGGACCAAGCTGCACTCGGGATCCGGGCACGGGCGTTTCGCCCGCCGCCCAGGGCCGCGCCCCAGCGCTCCCACTCAGCGGGCGAGCTGCAGCGGCGCCTGGCGCGGCGCGGCCGCCTGGGCTTGCGCGCGCACGCGAAAGCGTGGAGCGTCGGCGCCGCCCCCATTCGTGTAACGATATGTCACTGCGGCATGGTGTTTATGTTCAGCAGTCCTGGTGCACGTGCCGCCGGGAGGGGTGCGCCTGTCCGGGTGTTGCACGCCGCGATGGATGTTGCACGCCGCATCGCGCTGCTGCGGCGGGTCCAGGGGTGAGCATTCCTCGGCAGCCTGCTGCTTCCCCTTCCGCAAGGCAGATGACCCGGGAACGCTCAACACTGGGCATCTTGTTGTGACTGGTGTCGTCCCACCAGCAAATCGAGGTGGCTGATGCGCCTGAGACAATGCGGCATATTTCCAAGAATAGCCTAGGCCAATCGTGCATGAATGACTTGGCCAGGCAACTCACACATTGAGGGAGGGCCCACGGGTGTGGTGACCGCCAGCAGGGAGCACCACCACAGCCTTGACAAACCATCGTGCCTATCAATCCCTACCACTGATGATAGTGGAAATACTTGTAACTACCATAAATACAAGTATGATAACAACCACTTCAGTGTCCTATATAATGCTGAGATGCCACGATACCCATAAATGGTTGGCACCAGTCTGTTCGCTGGGGGTCACTGCAGGGAGTTGCAGCCAGCGGCGAGGGGTGGGTTTGGTGCCTGACCCTCTATTGGACTGTTGTTCTTAGGTTGATCGTGTTCATCACTGTTCTCAGCCGTGTCCTCTGACGTTGGGTTCTGCACCACACAGTTTGCAAGGACGCGCTCACATGCCCGTAGCAACCTTCACACGGTGACTTGATTTCCTCAGTGCCTGTGCTGATGTCGGCTGACGCCTGCAAAGGTTAGTTCTCGAAGAGAGAGAAATCTGTGGTGTGGCTTTCCTACATGCTCTTTTCCAGCGAGGGGCGCGTCCTTTCACCTGACCGCAACGCCATCATTGCCGCCCTGCAGGTGCACCTGCAGGGGAACGAGACGAGAAATCGCGGCCGGCCTTCCTAGCTGAATAGCAGGCCGAATGAGAGTCGAATTTATAACAGTTCATAGCTTTGCATCCATTGTACATACCGCTTTGTGTTTGTTATTCACCGCGCGTCTCGGAAGGGAGCTTGTTGGCTGCTTGGTAATAGCACACTGCAAGCCGCTCTCTAACGCAACCTTATCACCGTCACTTGAAGTGCCAGCCCATACCGAGATCGATTTGGTGATGCCGTGATCGAGAGATGGCGCGGCCCCCTCTGGCCGTGCAACGCGGCCTGCGGCTTCTGTTGCTTCTGTCAGTGATTGGCCAGGGCCTGGCAGCCACTACTTACGTGACACAGGCCGGGGCGTGCCCACCCGACGCCGCACCAGGCGCGACGTGCGCAACTTTCAGCGATGCGCTGCAACGCAGCAACACGACGCTGCTGGTGCTCGCCGAAGACATCACTTTGCGCCCAGCTGATTGGGTGCACGTCAGGTGCGCGCGACTTTGCAACGGCCTCAGGCCCTAGCGAGAACCCGCGTCGCACCCACCCGCAAGGCACACCCGGTGACGCGCCTCCGCACGTACCGCCCGCGCTCCCCCCCATCGGCCAGGCTGGCCCGACGATGCCTCATGCAAACCCGCCCCGCCTTTCACCACACAACCCCGCGCACACATACACACATGCCAACGCACCCCGCCTTCAATCGCACACACACACTCACACACACACACACACACGCACACACACACACACACCCCACCAGCGCGGACAACCCCTACGCATTCCTGCTGGGGCGGGACGTCGCCATCACCTCCATCAACGGCACCCAGGCCCTCGACTTGGCGTTTATAGCCGACGCCGTCGTTATCCGCCAAAACGTAACTGTCCGCCTCTCCGACATGGCAATCAAGAACACCAGGTGCGCCGCGGCTGCCCGCGCCCCACCCCCGCCCTGCAGGCCCGAAACCTCATCCCTGCCGCCACGACCTGGCCCCTTGCGCTGCAGTGCGGCGCGGCGGCGCGGCGCGGCCGCACCCCCAACCCTGGACCCCCTTTAATGCTGGCCCCTCCCAACCGTCCCCACTCGCGGCCGCCCCGGCGCCACACAGGAAGGGGGCCGGCCTCGCCATCGATTTCTTCGTCGGAGAAGGTGCGTGCCTTTGGCGCATCAACGTCTTCGGTGCACCCGCTCCCACGCTCGTATGCACGCGCCCCGACCCAGCGCGCACGTGCGCAGGCACGTCCTGCCGTGCCTCCTGGCACCTTCCCGCCCGGCTGCTCAGGGCCGCATGTCAACACACGCGCCCCCACACACACACGCGCGCACACACACACACATGCACACACCCCTGACTCGCGGGTCCACCCCCCACGCCTGTGGCGCCGCAGAGGGCAGCCGGATCGTCATGGCTAACGTCATCCGCTGGCGCTACGTCTGCACCGCCGCCGCCGACGCTCTGAAGTACCACCTCGGCTACCCCCGCGCCCCCAGCGTTCCCGGCACCCAAAAGGTATGCTTCTCGACCATCCCCGCGCCCCCCCCCCTCCTCGGCTGCGGCTGAGCCCCTGCGGGCCACTCTCGCAGCGCCGCTCCGCGCGGCTTCCGCGCAGCTTCGCGGGCGCGACGCCGTCGCCTCACGCCCTCGGGAACGCCGCGCCCGTCCCGCCCCCCTCAGATCGTCATCGACCCCCGGTTTTGCTGGCGCGGCGAGTGCTACGGGAACGACACCCTCTTGTATGTCGATTTTGCACTTATGGTGGCGCCAGGCATGACAGAGTCCGCGGCCTACCTGCCGGGTGAGGCGCCGCCGCCCGCGCATGTCCCGAGGCGGGCGCC